AAAAAGCGGGGTTGCTCCTTACTTTGTATTCCACAGCACATAAGCAGCCCAGAAGAAATGCAGCCCTGTCAACACCTTCCTAGTGATATGAGCTGATTTTTTTTTTCCTGCCTCCCCTGCTGCATTGTTCACGACCGTAAAATATTCGCCAGCCTCGCCTCTCCCCTCCGCACTGCAAAACAAAACCCCCAAACAATAACTCAAGCCCCCTTCCTTCCCACGGCTTGCAAAAGGCTAGGAAATAAATTTCTTGCCGTGGGTTGTTTTTATAGTGAACTTTCGTAGCTAGATTTAATCATGGAGGCGAATTTCACACCACCTTGAAAAGGACCCATAAACTTTTCTCAGCATCGGATTCCTCCTTCCCCAACTTGCCCTTCCATCTCTGCTCTGCCGTGTCCCCAGCTTCACGGGGCTCTGAGGAGGAAAGCTTTCCCACCTGCAAAGCCACATCTACAGTGTTTTTCCACAAGAAAGGCCAAAGCTGTACAGATCGTGCTGGTGTTGTACGAGCTCCGCATTGCCACCCGGAAAGGGTCGAATCCTGCCCGAGTCATCCTTCATCGGGCAGGGAGTCCCTGGCAAGCCAGGGCATTTCCATCGGGGGTAGAAGTGGTGCTGGGGAGGCAGGGGGATGCAGCGAGCATCCGCCTGGCCAGGGCATGGGTTTTGTTTGCTTTGAGTGTGGGCAAGTTCTTGGGTGCTGCAGTGGGAAGGTGGAAACCCAAAGTCCTGCATGTTTGCCAGCAATTGCATGGTCACTCCCTGGGGACGCTTATCAAGTTGTGTTTTATTGCGTGGGAGATGACCGTAAGGCACCACTGTCTCTGACCCGGGTCCGAGGTGATCTCCTCCCATCCCAGGAGAGCTCAGCCAACGCTGCAGATGGGGAAGGAGCCCACCAAGAGGAGGAGGATTGCTACAGCAGCTCAGAGACTGGGGCAGTACATTGGGTCTCACAACAGCTTGCCCCTTCTCCTGGTTCCTCCTCTTTCCCCATCAGGGCACTCATGGGATTGGGCCTTCCAGCAGGCAGGACCTTTTGCCAGAGAGCAGAGCTGCCATCACCACACCTCCCTTTCAGAGGGGCTCCTCAGGTGCAAGGTTTTGCTCACATTTGAATGTGGGTGGATGGGATGGTGCAAAGAGAAGGTCCAGCGTGTGCTTGGAGAGGTGCTTCAACCCAGGCAGCAGTGTTGGAACACGGACACGTCTGACGAATGCAGATGTGGTGAAATCAGCCTCTGAGCTGGGGACATTAATTATCCCTGGAGAGGAGCAGGCACCTGTAGGGCATATTTCACGAATCCCAGAATCCCAGCATGGCAGGGGCTGGATGGGACCTCTGTGGGTCCCCCAGCCCAGCCCCCTGCCCAAGCAGGGTCACCCAGAGCAGGCTGCACAGCACCGCGTCCAGGCGGGGTTTTTTTTTTAGACAGAGGCGCGACAGCCTCCCTGGGCAGCCTGGGCCAGGGCTCCGTCACCCTCAGAGGGAAGAAGTTCTCCCTCATGTTCAGCTGGAGCTTCCTTTGCTTCAGTTTGTGCCCATTGCCCCTTGATGGGTCTGCCTGAATTGCCCCAGCAAAGGGCAGTCAGAAGGAGCCTGTGGTGTCTTGCTGTGGTGCACACGATGGGAGATGGGTCTTCCTCCGCCTCGCAGACCCGAGAGGAACCTTTCCAACCCATGGTGAGGTCATCTGGCCACCGCCTTCTTTAGGCATGGGTACATGGTTCCTGGGGGCTTTCTCCTTTGGATGACTAACAACCCTTCTGCAGCGTCCCCCCAGCCACTATACAGGAAAGGGAAGAATCACCGTGAGCTCCTTCCCTTTTTAGCAGTTTTAATTTAAAATGACTTATAAGCTGGGAAAACATGCCCCCCCGCCGCCCCTTGGATAAACATACATTTTAATACATTGCAATGAGCAGGGGAGGAGACATGGAAGTTTCCATTGACTTTCTTTTATTTTTGTAGATTATAAAATATTTAAAATGCATAAATAAAATGCTCCATTGCAAAAACGCTGGCACGTTTTCCCAAAGCAAGGCGGGGAACGGAGCTAAATTGAAATATAACCGTCCAGGGTGATCTTTTAAAGTGAAACCAGTTTCAATGGGATTTAAGTGCCCACAGTCTCCCTGCTTGAATATTTATGTTCTTATGGAGTGTGACACATTCTTTTTTTCCCCCCTTTTTTTTTTTTAATATTGCACGATATAATGAATCAGAGTCTTGTAGCCACCGCGGTGAATTTATGGTGCTACGTATGTGTCATGAATAATGCTGAAGTTTCCTGGTTTTAATTAAACCTGTTCCGTTTGTGATACTGCCATGTTGCAAGAGAGCAGCAGGAGGCATCGCCCGGAGGAGACACCTCTGAGCCTGTGTCAGTAGACAGCGGTCGTGACTCTGCCTCCTCTTTGCAAGCGTTGGCTGGAGCCAGAAACAACAAGACCTTGGCTTTTTGTGCGTCTCTGACTCTCTCTTTCTGTCCTAACATTTCTTAGTCCTAACTTTCAAGCATCCCAAAAGTGGTATTAGATCCCTGTTGGGAAATATTACTGGTTGCAACCACATAAATAGCAGATTTTGTGGCATGGGCACATATCCACCATAGATTACAATGATGTGACCGCAAGCGCCTTGTCACAGTGATTGGATTCAAACCATCCTTGTTAGAGAAGTCTAATTTAAATGTTCCCCTCCGCTGGCTTTTTGGAGGTGTTGGTCTGACTACCCAGAAGGCAGACCATCTGCCTTGCTGTTGGTGTATCCGCTGTAGTAAGTGGGCCACTGCAGTTGCAAACTTCTAATGGGTGACTGTTGTGTAAATGATCTCCTCTCCAGAAAGTAGAAATGTACTGTGTCCAGTTCAAGAAAGATGAGGAGCTACTGGAGAGAGTCCAGTGGAGGGCTACGAGGATGAGGAGGGGACTGGAGCATCTCCCCTCCGAGGAGAGGCTGGGGGGAACGGGCTTGAAGAGAAGGCTGAGAGGGGACCTTCGAAATGCCTCTAAATATCTGCAGGGTAGGTGTCAGGTGGATGGGGCCAGACTCTTTCCAGTGGTGCCCAGCGACAGGACAAGGGGCAACGGGCACAAACTGAAGCAGAGGAAGCTCCAGCTGAAGATGAGGAAGAACTTCTTCCCTCTGAGGGTGCCGGAGCCCTGGCCCAGGCTGCCCAGGGAGGCTGTGGAGTCTCCTTCTCTGGAGATATTCCAGCCCCGCCTGGCCGCGGTGCTGTGCAGCCTGCTGTGGGTGACCCTGCTTGGGCAGGGAGGTTGGGCTGGGTGACCCACAGAGGTTCCTTCCAACCCCTGCCGTGCTGGGATTTTGTGAAATTGCTGCCTCATCCTATTGCTGAGCTCCATACGGAAGCTGTCTTCCAGGCAGTAGCTACTCCTCGTTACTGCGTCTGGGTTGCAGAACTGATGGGTGACAGCTCCTGCACTGCACAAGGGCTTGGTGAACGATGGTTATCACAGGGGATGCTCACGGTCTAGTTTTCATTCCAGGTCCTTTGCAAATAGGCTTCTGGGACTGCTGCAAAACCTTTCCGCAGGTTTTCACGGCAGCTGTAGTAGCAGGGAATAGACAACACATGGCCCATCTAAGAGAAATGAGCAGGGCATACAGACAGTGAGAGATCTCACGTTATAAGGACTGAAATCCAGTGTCACAGTGCCACGGCTGGATTGGTTGTACAGGGAGCCAGGCTCTGGTCATCGTGGTTTGCTGGTGCTCTGAATCTCTCCTTTCTTGAGCTTGGATGTAGTAGTAGATATGGCAAACACATTATGTAGCTTGGCAGTAGCCTGGTGTAATATTAGCAGCAGATTTACTGGGATACCATGTCCAACTCTAGCATTCACCTGTCCTGAGAATGAAAACCTGGGAGATGTGTGGAAAAGATCATAGAATCATAGAATGGTTTGGGTTGGGAGGGATCTTAAAGCTCATCTGGTTCCAACCCCCCTGCCATGAGCAGGGACGTCTTCCACCAGACCAGGTTGCTCAGAGCTCCATCCAACCTGGCCTTGAACTCTGCCAGGGAGGGGGCAGCCACAGCTTCTCTGGGCAGCCTGGGCCAGTGTTTCACCAGGCTCATCGTGAAGAATTTCTTCCCAATATCTCATCTCAATCTGCCCTCTTTTAGTTTAGAGCCGTTCCCCCTTGTCCTATCACTACACCCCCTTGTGAAAAGCCCCTCTCCATCCTTCCTGTCGGCCCCCTCAGGTACTGGCAGCTGCTCTAAGGTCACCCCGGAGTCTTCTCAGATGAACAAAGTCATTTGAGAACTGAGAAATCCACCACACAGTGAGCTGCTATGAAAGCATCAGTCTCTTTCTTTATGTGTTCAAGTCTAATAAGTAAACTTAGGAGCCACAGGCTACCTGCAGGTGGAAGAGGTGTTCGCAGGTTGCAAGTTGGCCAACAGCACAACAGACTGAACAGCAGATCAGAGCAGTGGTGGATCCAGACTTGTGCAGGGCTCTGGAGTGAGAGATGGCAGAAGGGAATGGGACATATTTGAATTGCCTACCATAAGTGCTAATTTAAATTTAATTCCCATATTTTTCCATTAATTAAGAGGAAGGTGAAGTTTGGCAGCACTGGCCCTCAACACTCATTGCTCTCTTCTCCTTGGAGAGTTGCCCTCATCTAACTCATGTGAATATGATGCTGTCACTCCAAAAGACCCTATTTGCAAGCTCGTGGTACCTGTTTGCTAAAACATTGTCACTAAATTAAGGCACAAATTGATACCAACCCAGCTTCCAGAAGCACCCTGGGTTTTCCACTGAGCATGCTTGTCCGAGAACTGGCCAGTGCCAGTGCTGTCCTCCTGCGGCTCTGGCCCTGCCGAACTGGACCAGGACACACCAAGAGCATTATGTTACAGGACTTCCACTGCTGTGAGATAAGAGTAGGCAGGCTCTGCCTGTTTCTATTAATGAGCCTTTTATTTTTCCTTGGTCTCTTTTCCGGTGTGATTTAGGAGCACTTCTGGAGCTTGGATAAGACAGAAAACAAGATTCCACCGCAGCTTATCTTCCAGGTCTGGGACA